TAAAGATTTACACCCTTGGAAACCCTGTACAGGGTCGCTATGGGTCGGACCCGACTCGATGGCACTTAACAACAACAACAACAACAAATTACAACTTGGAGAGCGCTGTGACACTTTAGCATAAGCACTAACTGCTGGTACCAGGTTGGCAGTTCAAGCCCACCATCTGCTCTGAAGGAGAAAGATGAGGCTTTCTGATTCCATAAAGATTTCTGGCTCGGAAACCCTATACAGGGTCACTATGAGTTAGAACCATGCTCGATGACTCTTAACAACAGCAGCAAAGTTATGTACATATTAGCAAAGAAGAAAAGGGAATAATGAATATGAGTGTGCAGTTTAGTGATTCTCTGGAACCTTTGCACTAATCCAGTTATTTAACATGCCGTCTGTTTCCAGGTATTCTCTGCGAGCCACCCCCATCTATCGCCCATGGAGACTTCTCTAGCAAAGAGAAAGAATATTTTCAATATGGAATGGTGGTGACCTACCGCTGCAATAACAGACACAGTGGAGGAAAGCAGTTTAATCTTGTGGGCAAGCCATCAATACATTGTACCAGCCATGACGGTCAAGTCGGCATCTGGAGCGGCCCGCCCCCTCAGTGTGTCGCTCCTCCTAATACATGCACTCTTCCAGACATTGAAAATGGAATAGTGATATCTAGGGATAGAAGCTTATTTTCCTTATTCGAGATTGTGAAGTTCAAGTGTCAGGATGGCTTTGTTATGAAGGGACCCAGCAGTTTGCAGTGCCATGCCCAAAACAAATGGGAACCGGTTTTGCCCAGCTGTTCCAGGGGTGAGTCTCACTGGGGTTTTGATGGGTATGGCACTGTGGGTTAATGCGCCAGACTGCAAAGCCACTTGAACTGCAAGGTCAGCAGTTAAAGCTCACCAGCTGCTCCTTGGAAGCCCTATACAGGGTCGCTATGGGTCACAACCACCTCGACAGCACTTAACAACAACAACAAACAGTATGGCAGTACTGGTGTGATGCTACAGGACAATGCCCTGGACCACAAGGTCAATTTGAGCCATAAGGGCAGTGGTTCAAACCCTCTACCCACTCCTCAGAAACCCTATACAGGGGTGCTATGAGTTAGAACTGATTTGATGGCACTTAACAACAACAAATGGTATGAGGTGTTGCAGGACCTGGAGCTTAGTGTTGGTTGTGGGAGAAAGCTGTGTGATGGATAGTGTGAGTGAGGAAATCATTTGGGGAAAGAACATGGAATTTAGAAAGGGTGTGTATGTGTGTGTGTGTGTATATACTTGCATGTGTATACATTCACTTTGAGGAGCAAGAGCCGAATCGCCAAGAATGGGGACATTTGAGAGTTCCACAATGAGCAATTCTCAGGGAAGAGTAACAGTTGCAGTGTCTCTCAAATCTATCGGGAAATAATGTGGCTTTTGTCTGTCTTTAGCCATGTGATAATCACCTTATGTGCATTAGTTCATTTACATTTAACAACAACCCTTTGAAATGGTATTGTTGTTTTCCCCATTTGACAGAGAGGTTCCCTGGGTCTTTCAGAGGTAAAATAAATCATCCAAGTCATATACTACTTAGTGGCATCCCCAGGATTAGAAGGCAAGTGTGTTAGACACCAGCACTTGAACACTGGATTTTTTGTCCTCCTTCTGTTGGCATCTGTTGGTACAGGGGAGCAGTTTACTTATGGACCTTAAGGATAGATATCATAACATGAGAATAGTGACAAAGACCTTAGATTTTGCCTACTCTGACCCACCTCTTACATTTTATAATAAGGAATCTGAAGTCAAGAGTGAAATTAATGCTCAAAACGAGACAGATTTTTCATTCATTATTAATTAGCTGTGGAATACATTGCAGTTCATATGAGTTCTGATGTCATGTAAGCAGCCAGGACTTACAAGAAATGCTCTCTAAGTAATATGCCCTATAATTACAAGCACTGACATTTTTTAAAGGAGATTATGTTCTCAGTGACTTCTCTTATGCTGTAAATGCAGGCTTAGTTGTGGATTGGGAAGTGTTATGATGGTTAAATAGGAACAGAGAAAGAGTTTACAGTCCTTCGACCAACACATGTCAGCCTTTTGCATCCACTAAGACAGCAGCAAGGAGGACAAACAGACAAACATGACAGAACAGGAAGGCAGTAAGATGCAGTTCAATGTGTTAGTTAAGACTTGGAAAGGCCTACTTGTTGCCTGTAAAACAAAACTGTAAGTTGAAGTTGCCTTTTTAGGAACTATGTTGGTGGAGAAGCCCACCAACACAAACATTTTGTATGGCCTAACCAGCACTGGAAGAAGGGCTCTCACATCTTGCAGACTGTGAATGTAGTTTAAACCTTGTACTGAGGTGAATTAGGTTCTAATTCTCTGTTTCTTACTAACTGTGAGCTCTTTGACTGCATCTCCCCCTCTGTTCTTAACTTCCACATCAGTAAAATAATGGGTTAGAGTACAATTTAGCTTTTTTCTTTTTAATATTTGAGCCCCTTTAATTGTGATTCTCTAAGTATTTAGCTGAAGTTAGTTCCTATAGCTCATGGGTCTCTGGACTGTGCACGTAGTTAAGTGCTAGGCAACTAACTGAAAGGTAGTTAGTTCAAAACCACCAAGAATTCCAATAAGAAGAAAGGCCTGGTGATCTACTTCCAAAAAGTTACAGCCATGAAAACCCTATGGAACACAGTTTTACTCTGAAGCACATAGCGTCATCCTGAGTTAGAATAGATACTGTATCAACTTCTTTTTTTCCTTTTTTAAATGGGTACTTTGATCCTGTTCTTTCTACAGTGTGTCAGACACCTCCAGTAATACCGCATGGCATGCATACCCCAAGTGACAAGGCCAACTTTTCCTCTGGGGAAGATGTTTTCTACAGATGTGAACCAGGCTATGATCTAAGAGGAGCTGCTTCTCTGCGTTGTACACCCAAGGGAGACTGGAGTCCTACAGCACCCACATGTGAAGGTGCCGAGATACTCAGCTCATTTGACATATTTAGCTTGTGTCTTTATCATCCTGGTGCCAACTTTATTTCTTTTTCCCCCCCTCAGTGAAATCATGTGATGACTTCCTTGACCAACTCCCTAATGGTCGTGTTGTCTCTCCCCCTAGTCTCCAACTTGGAGCAAAAGTGTCCTTCGTTTGTGAAGAGGGGTGAGTATGAGTTTACCTGACTGAACATAAACCAGGAGCTAAGTGATGGATACTGACACCTGAGGCATTGGTGTTTGTCTAAAAAGAGGAGCTGGTCATAGAAAAGAAATACCAGAAGACATTTCCCAATGCATGGTTGGGAAGTCCAGTGAGACCTAGATGGAACCATTAATAACAAATGTTATAAAGGGCAAGGTGATAAATATACTGAACAGCAGAACTATAGTAAGAGGTATATAGGCGAAACATAGAGAGTATGAAATTATAGTCATTCAGAAATATGAAGAGATAAATATTCTAGAGGACTTGCTGTGTTGTTAAGTACCGTTGAGTCATTTGTGACTCACGGCAACCCTGTATAGGGTTTCCGAGGCAGTAAATATTTACAAGAACAGAAAAACTCATCTTTCTCCCTAAGATCAGCTGGTGGGCTCCAACCGCCAACCTTATGGTTAAGCAGTCCAGTGCTTATCCTATAGCACCACCAGGGCTCCCAAGAGGTGTTCTTTTCAAAGTTTGATATTTAAGAGAAAGTTGTTGATAAGAAAAATAATATACAAGAATTATTTCTGGAAACTCTTATAGCCAATGTAATTTGAAATGAGAATGAAAGAATAAATTTAACAATTTTTTTTGAATTCAGGTGTATAAAGGAGCTTCAAAAAGTTCATGGAAAAATTCCATTGTCTTTTAATTTCATTTTTCCTCAAACTTTTTGAAGGTCCTTGTATACCACTGGATTCATATTGGGCTGTGGTAGTGGAAGTAAAGTGGCTAATAGGAATACTCCAAGAAAGGTCAAGAACTCTTTTTATGAATCAACATGATCTTGGAATTATGCTCCAGTTCCATATGGTGGGAAAAAAACATGGCCAGTAAAGCAGTTGTTTTCAGTACATTTCAAGATCTTGTTGACAAACATTAGATTCTAGTCACCTAGTAAGGAGCAAGAAGGAATTCAGGAGGTCAATCCTCTGACAATAAACTAGATATTTTATGATGCTTTCCTCCAAAAAGGCCCTCTCTTCTTACCCATTTTTCTTTTAAATAATTTGGCTTTATCCTTCAGTGTTGTTATTGTTTGGTGTTAAGTGCTGTGGAGTCAGTCCCCACTCATAGTGATCCTGCAGAGGGTTTCCAAGGAGCAATTAGTGGGTTTGACCCACTAAGCTTGTGGTTAGCAGTCCAGCACTTATCCTGCAGCTCCACACCAGGACTCCCAGCATAATGCCATAAATTTCATTCAGGAACATTCTAAATGTGGTGGCAAGAACAGTCACTCATGTCTTTCCTGAGAAACTTTGCAAACTGAAACCAGGAGCTATTCCCTTTCCTTATCCCACCCTCCCATGCCCTCTTCCCTGCTATCTACTGTCTCTTGTTGTTATTAAGTGCCATCAAGTCAGTTACAACCTATAGCAACCCCATATAGAGTTTCCTAGGAGTGGCTGGTGAGCTTGAACAGCTGACCTTGCAGATCCAACCAATTTTGCAGTCCAGCACAGTAACCCACAGTGCCACACCACTGACAGAGTGAAATGCTGAGTTTTCCATTAGCAGAGAAAGTTCTAACTAATGGCTAAAGGGGAGCAGACAGAGGAAATGACCTCCTGAAGGTACAGGAAGCCCCTGTCTGTGTTCATTGCCCCTTGTTCAGTTTAGGCTGGAGTAATGATACTTGCCTGACTACTAAGCTTTGAAAATCATTATTGCTTTGTTCCTCACTAATAGCTGTGTGTTTTTTCCAAAAGAATTTGGTTTCTGAGCCTGTATCAGTTGAGAAAGCAAATGAGTTGAGCTTTTTCACCTAGGTTTTAACTTAGGCATTACATTTTATTTTAGAAGAAGGGAGGAAGGCTAACTCTGTAGCTGACAGGAAGAGAGAACAGTATGCATACCCATTTACACAAGTATTGCTACTTTTTTATTTTAGGTTCCATTTAAAAGGCAGTTCTGTTAGCCATTGTGTCTTGGATGGAATGAAAAGCCGTTGGAATAACAGCGTTCCTGTGTGTGAACGTGAGTAGAAGGAATACTTGTCCAGGTCTAAATCTTTCTCCTTGTTTGGTTTTTTATCCTTTTTCTTAATGTATGTTGCCCCATGAAATTATCTAATATCTATCCCTCTCCATATTTGATAGAAATAGTTATTTGTTATAAGAATGGCAAGGAATTTTGGGGTGTGGGGGGAATCAATCTGAGAATTTAATTACCTTAGTACCATTCTATAAATATGTACAGCTATAGTTTAAGGAGTTCTGGTAGCGTAGTGGTTACGAATCGGGCTGCGAATTTCGCGCAAGGTCAGCAGTTTGAAACTACCAGCTGCTCCGCGGGAGAAAGATGAGGCTTTCTGTTCCCGTAAAGATTTACAGCCTAGGAAACCCGGTTCAGGATCGCTATGGGTCGGAACCGACTCGACGGCACTTAACAATAACAACAACATAGTAAATGTTAGAATATACTTCATAGATAGAGAGACATTTATGGCATGATACTTTGCCAATTTTTTCTTTTTTGTTATCAAAAAGTAATAGTCATCATAGACTTTTCTGTTCTTTCCTCAACCATCCATTTGTCTGTTCTTGTTTTGTTTTTTGTTTTTAAGGCTCAGAGAAATTAATTTATTGAGTTGTGAATGCAGCATTGTTTACTCTCCCATCCATTGAAAGTTAGCAAAATGCATTTGGATCAATAATACAAACATTAACAAAGATTTTCACTTTTCTACATGAATAATATTCATAAACAGATTAGGGGAGCCTGAGAAACTATGATCTGCATCACACAAAGATTGCATGTATTACATGATCAAGAAGTGCTTTATCTTTGAGAAAAATGCCGGCATTAAAAGGGAAATATTCAATATAGGATCACTTGACATTTTTTTCAAGGAAAGTACCAAGTGAAAAATGAGCAAGAAGATGACGGGTCTGCTCTCTGAACATGCCTTATGCATGTAACTTTTAGGGTATACTAAATTAAAATGGTTTTAAGAATGAACAGTGGGATTTTAAATCCACTACATTTTAAAACCTGAGATTAGACATCAAAGTAGTCAACTGTTATTCACCAGAACAGTTCTGATACTTCCTAAAAATAAAAGACAATTCAATTGAATTTATAACTGCAGGGTCAAAAACATTACCTTTTCCCAGTCAAAAAATAGACTTATCACAAATATGTTAGCTAATAAAAGGACAGCAAAATTATGACTCTCAGCAAATGAGTCATTTTTTACGTAAGCAGAAAGTCATTTCTTGTCTTCCCCTCCTCGCTGATCAAGGCCACGCTATTTTCAGATGAATATCTACTGAGAGATCAGTTGTGCATTGGACAAAGTACCATCAAAATGTACAGTGAAGAATACTATGTGCATGGCTTACACACTCAAGCCCCTCCTCAGTATTATCTACCTCAAGAGCAAAGAAGATGAAAACAGCCACCTTTGAATACCATGTGTGGATCACATTCCACACCTCTGTAAACCTAGGAAAGGTCATATTTAAGAAAGCATACTTAGCAATTATAGTGCCTGAAATATGCAACCATTTACAGACCACTCACTATAAGGGCTTTTTTGCCTACAACCCTGCATTTTCAGATAAGACAGGATAATTGTTTTGAGAAAACGGAAGGCAGAATCTGTTAAAAGACCTACAATTTACTGCAAAGTGACCCAGAGTCCACGAAGCAGCAGGTTTAGTGGGCTGCGTGCTCCTGGAGACTCTCAATTATTTTGCAGTTAATAATGATGGAAAGTGAGTTGGCAAGTAGCCCTGTGCGTATCACAGCTACACTGAATGATAATCTCCTATGTGCTTCCATTCTTTACAGAGGGTGTCTGGGTTTTGGTTTGGTTTCCACTTTGATTTTTTGGTACCATACAGATTTACATTTTAAAAGTACTCACTATGTGCCCTGGGCTCTGGAATTATACCAGTAAGCAACCAGACAAAGTCCATACTCCGGTGTTGTTCAACTTCTTGTGCAGAGAGTAAGACCAAAAACATACAAACAGACAATTTAAAATAAAGACAACTGAATCTAATATTGATACCGGTAAGCAATCAGATGAAGTCCATACTCCGGTGTTGTTCAAATTCTTGTGCAGAGAGTAAGACCAAAAACATGCAAACAAACAATTTAAAATAAATTCAACTGAAGCTTATATTGATAAATTTAATTTTTGAAAAAATACCAAGGTCTATGAAGAAAACACAAACACAAGATGTAGACTCGATTCCAACTCATAACAACCCTGCATAGGGTTTCAGAGACTGCAAATCTTTACGGGAGCAGAAAGTCTCATCTTTCTTCTGTGGAAACAACTGGTAGCTTTGAACTGCTGACCTTGAGGTTAGCAGCCCAACTCATCACCAATATGCTACCAGAACTCCTTTTAAACATAGGATAGTTAAAAAAAAAAAAAAAGTTACAGGAAGTGGGACAAAGACAATGAGGAAATGAATAAAGTTTCCATTTTAAATAAGGTGAACAAGAATGTCCTATCTGAGAAAGTAACATACAAGTACTAATAGAAGTTAGTTAACCACTAACGTACATATGAAGCTGTAGTATGGCACTGCGGGTCAATGCATTGGACTGTAATTTAGGTTTGAACTGCAAGGTTAGTAGTTCAAACTCATTAGTTGCTCCTCAGAAACCCTATGCAGGGTTGCTATGAGTCAGAACCAACTCAATGGCACTTAACAACAACAATGTACATCTATGATGAAGTCCACAAGAGCCAAAATACGACCTTGACTATGGTGGTGGTAGTGGTGGTTATGTGGCGTGGAGTCGGTTTCAACTCATAGTGACCCTGCATTGGGTTTCCAAGGCTGTAAATCGTTATGGGAGCAGAAAGCGTCATCTTTCTCCCACAGAATGCCTGGTAGTTTCAAACTTCTGACCATGAGGTTAGCAGCCTGACTCATAACCACTACACTACCAGAGCTCCTTATGACCTTGACTGTAGCCCATTTGAATTAAGAGACCATCCCCAGAACAGATTTGATGCACTAGTCACTAATGACTGAAGGCCAGAAGAGTGGTGGGATGACATCAAGAGCAACATAGAGGAACAAAGCAAAAGGTCATTAAGAAGACAAGACAAAGACCAGTGGATGTCAGAAGAGATTCTGCCACTTGCTCCTGAGGGTAGAGAAGCTAAAGCAACTGAAAGAAATGATGAAGTAAAAGAGCTGAATAGAAAATTTCAAAGGACAGCTCGAGAAGACAAAATTAAATATTAGAATGAAATTTGAAAAGACCTGAAGTTAGAAAACCAAAGGAGTAGAACACAGCATTTCTCAAGCTGAAAGAACTGAAGAATAAAACTGAAGCTTCAGATGGCAATACTGAAGATTTTTATGGGCAAAATATTGAATGACACTGGAAAAATAAAAAGAAGATGGAAGGAATACACAGAGTCACTGTGTGAAAAGAATTTGTGAGTGTTCAGTCATTCCCAGAGGTAGCATCTGATCTAGAACAAATGGTACTGAAGGAAGAAATTCTAGCAGCTCTGAAGGCACTGGTAAAAAACAAGGCTCCAAGAACTGATGGAATACAAATTGAAATGTTTAAACAAACTGATGCAGCACTGGAAGTGTTCATCTGTGTCAAGAAATTTGGAAACCATTTACCCATCAACCACCTGGAAGAGATCTATATTTATGTGTATGTTAAAGATGTGACCCAACAGAATGCAGACATCATCTCATAATATCGTTGGTATCATATGCAAGCAGAATGTTAAAGACCATTCAAAAATGATTGCAGCAATACATAGGGAGCTGCCAGAAAATCAAGCTGGATTCTGAAGAGGACATGGAATGAGGGATATCATTGCTGACATCAGATGGTTCTTGATTGAAAGCAGAGAAAACCAGAAAGATGTTTACTTGTGCTTTATTTTGACTGTATGGATCATGACAAGCTATGGACAACATTGCAAAGAATGGGTATTCCACAACACTTAAGTGTGCTCATGTGGAACCTGTATGAAGACCAACAGGCAGTCCTTAGAACAAAACAAAAGAATACTGAATGGTTTAAAATCAGGAAAGGTGTTGTTCAGTCCTGAATGATTTAAAATCAGGAAAGGTTGTATCATTTCCCCATTCTTAATAAATTTCTATGCTGACCTAATAATCCAAGAAGCTGGATTTTATAACTAAGAACATGGAATTCGGTTTGGAGGACGATTCATTAACAACCTTCCATATGCAGCTGACACAAGCTTGCTTGATCAACTGAACCAGTAAATAACATCCCGATGAACAGAGCAAAGACTGATGTTTATCAAAGACTTCATTTTGCTTGGATCCACAATGTTCATGGAAGAAGCTGTGAAGAAATCAAACGATGTATTAGACAAATCTGCTGCAAAAGATCTCACTGAAGTATTCAAGATCAAAGACGTCACTTTAGAAGACTAAGGTGTGTGCTTGACCCAAGCCATTTCTAGTTGCCTCATATGCATGTGAAAGTTGTAAAATAAGGATGATCATAGGAGAACTCATGCATTTGAATTATGGTGAATATGAATATTGAAAGTACCGTGGACTACCAGAAACACAAATACATAACTTGGAAAAAATATAGCCAAAATGTTCTTTAGAAGCCAGGATGGTAAGATTTCATCTCTGGTACTTTGGACATATTATCAGGAGGGACCAGTTTCTGTAGAAGGACATCTTACTTAGTAAAGTGGAGGGTCAGCTAAGAAGAGGAAGATTCCCCAAAAGATAGATTGACACAGTGGCAGCAGTAATGGGCTCAAACATAACAATTATGAGGTTGGCGCAGGACCAAGCGTGTTTCATTCTTTTGTGCATAGGGTAGCTATGAGTCGGAATCAACTCAACAGCAAATAACAAAAACATGTCATATCTATGTTAATCGTAAGCCTTTAAGACTAAATGAGGTCATCTAAGGAATGAGCTTAGATAGAGAACAGATCCCTGGGATCAGCCTGGGAAGTCCAGCATTAAGATGTTAGAAAAATCAAA